CTCCCCAGCCACTGCCATTGCCGAAGGTGGGTAGATGAAGGAGGCAAGGTAGCTGGGGGTGTCTCCATTTTCTTGGTTTCACATCTTTGCAGGAGATGGACTGGGTACAACAGGAGAGGGAGATGACATGGGACCCCTCCATAGGACAGTGTGGGAGGAAGGCCTTGGGGCACCGCGAGGTATCTGGAAAACCAGACACAGACTTTAGAGCAGTAGCATCCATAGAGAGGCTGGGGAGGATTCAGAGTAGCTCAAGAAGGAAGAAAGATTTTGACAAACCAGGCCCTGTGAGTGAAGCTGTTGGCGGATGCTAACATGGATATAGAGGTTTGAATGGATGGGGAAATTCTAATCCTCTTCATCCCAAATTTTTGAACTGCAGAACTGAGGAAGATAAGCCATGTCTCAAAATGGGCTGATATAAAATGAAATTGAACAAATAATACTGAGTCTTCATAACTTATTAAAGTAAAATTCAGTGCCAGTAGCAGGATAGAGTACAGAAGTTGTAAAAAGCAGCCAGTGGGGATGGACATGGTACACTGTTTTCCCTTTAAGATTTGTAATGATTTTTTGCAGTATGTTTATCAGGTTTTGTTGTGTGTTGCTATACGGTGGCTTGGGGTATATACTGTTGCTGTACCAAGGCTTGGGAACAGCTGCTTAAAAATGAGGAGCAAAAAGATCAGAAAGAAAAAAATATGCAGACTAGTTTTCCATTCAGTTTTACTGTTACCCTAATGGTTCTCTTCCATCTTCCATACAGGATGTCAACCTGTTTGTTTCTAAGTATGAACATTCTTATTTCTACCAGGCAGAAATTGTGGTTTAAATGCCTAGTTTTAAATGTCAAATTTCAGCTTTACCATCTGAAGTCTATTGTTTGCTTTCTTATGTGTATTAAAAAGTTTGTGTTGAGGGAAACTGAAACATGCAGTAAGTGGGCCAAATTACCTACTATTTAAGCAACAAGTAATTGCTGAGATATAAAATGTCATTTATAGCAATCAAAGCACTTCTTCAGCTTTTTTTAAAGTACATTAATGCAGTGCCTATGTGAGTTGTGGTCTTGGAGTCCTTTTTTTGGAAGGATTTAGCAGGATTTCTAGGAATTACCCATGGATAATAGGAGGTGGTAGGACTCCCTTCCTATTGTGCAGGTTTCAAGTAAATGACTGCAGCTTATTTCTTGACAGTTCATTTACCATCATGCTTTTTACTTCCTTACAGTAATGGAAGTGACTCAGCCAGCAATGGTGCTGGCCAACAGGCAAGGAGTCGCCAGCTTGGTGTGCAAATACAAGCACATTGGGAATGCGAAGGAAATTCGAGTGACTCTGCTTAAACAGACGGGTGACCGGTTCACTGAAATTTGTGCTTCAACCTACACAACGGAGTTTAAAATGTTCAGTGTGGAAGAGGTCATTCAGTGCCATGTTAGCCCTAGCCGAAACAATGTGACCCTCACCCTCACTGGCCTGCAAGCTAATGATACTGGTCTTTATGTCTGCAAGATGGAGCGGATGTACCCTCCACCCTATTTTATGAACAAGGGAAATGGGACACATCTCTATGTCATTGGTAAGCCAAGCAGCTTTACAGTACTGTGATATTCCCAGGTTAAGGGAGTTGCTATTATGTCTTCCAAGTTCTGTTTTTAAGAACCTCTTCATCCCAAATTTTTGAACTGCAGAACTGAGGAAGATAAGCCATGTCTCAAAATGGGCTGATATAAAATGAAATTGAACAAATAATACTGAGTCTTCATAACTTATTAAAGTAAAATTCAGTGCCAGTAGCAGGATAGAGTACAGAAGTTGTAAAAAGCAGCCAGTGGGGATGGACATGGTACACTGTTTTCCCTTTAAGATTTGTAATGATTTTTTGCAGTATGTTTATCAGGTTTTGTTGTGTGTTGCTATACGGTGGCTTGGGGTATATACTGTTGCTGTACCAAGGCTTGGGAACAGCTGCTTAAAAATGAGGAGCAAAAAGATCAGAAAGAAAAAAATATGCAGACTAGTTTTCCATTCAGTTTTACTGTTACCCTAATGGTTCTCTTCCATCTTCCATACAGGATGTCAACCTGTTTGTTTCTAAGTATGAACATTCTTATTTCTACCAGGCAGAAATTGTGGTTTAAATGCCTAGTTTTAAATGTCAAATTTCAGCTTTACCATCTGAAGTCTATTGTTTGCTTTCTTATGTGTATTAAAAAGTTTGTGTTGAGGGAAACTGAAACATGCAGTAAGTGGGCCAAATTACCTACTATTTAAGCAACAAGTAATTGCTGAGATATAAAATGTCATTTATAGCAATCAAAGCACTTCTTCAGCTTTTTTAAAGTACATTAATGCAGTGCCTATGTGAGTTGTGGTCTTGGAGTCCTTTTTTTGGAAGGATTTAGCAGGATTTCTAGGAATTACCCATGGATAATAGGAGGTGGTAGGACTCCCTTCCTATTGTGCAGGTTTCAAGTAAATGACTGCAGCTTATTTCTGGACATTTTTTAAAGTACATTAATGCAGTGCCTATGTGAGTTGTGGTCTTGGAGTCCTTTTTTTGGAAGGATTTAGCAGGATTTCTAGGAATTACCCATGGATAATAGGAGGTGGTAGGACTCCCTTCCTATTGTGCAGGTTTCAAGTAAATGACTGCAGCTTATTTCTTGACAGTTCATTTACCATCATGCTTTTTACTTCCTTACAGTAATGGAAGTGACTCAGCCAGCAATGGTGCTGGCCAACAGGCAAGGAGTCGCCAGCTTGGTGTGCAAATACAAGCACATTGGGAATGCGAAGGAAATTCGAGTGACTCTGCTTAAACAGACGGGTGACCGGTTCACTGAAATTTGTGCTTCAACCTACACAACGGAGTTTAAAATGTTCAGTGTGGAAGAGGTCATTCAGTGCCATGTTAGCCCTAGCCGAAACAATGTGACCCTCACCCTCACTGGCCTGCAAGCTAATGATACTGGTCTTTATGTCTGCAAGATGGAGCGGATGTACCCTCCACCCTATTTTATGAACAAGGGAAATGGGACACATCTCTATGTCATTGGTAAGCCAAGCAGCTTTACAGTACTGTGATATTCCCAGGTTAAGGGAGTTGCTATTATGTCTTCCAAGTTCTGTTTTTAAGAAGTGAGGCTGAACACCGATTCAAGCTCTGAGAATCATGATTAGCTCTTATTCCTTTCAGGTGTCCCTGCATACGCCTAAAGCAGGCATAATCATTGCCATGCGATGTATTTAGCAACGTGTGGATGTTTGACAGCATAAGCAATACCACATAGTGTACATGTATGTCTAGGCAGTTAGATATGTAAGTGCAGAAACAGCAGAGAGTAAGGTGTGTATGTTCTTCTACAGCTAAAGCCTACTTTCATTGGAGGTTGAGTGGGCATGGACTCAGAGCTCAGTCCTGGTAGTATCCTTGGATAGCTCATGCTAGAGAAAAGCAGTGTGGAGGCTGATTTACTGACTCTAGGGGCTTCCTTATGAAGCTCGTATGTGACATGACTTGTGTGATGTGTTTTAGATCCAGAACCGTGTCCAGACACTGCCATATATCTCTGGGTATTAGGAGCTACTGCCTCAGGATTTTTTCTTTACAGCGTCATCATCTCAGCCATTCTTGTGGGCAAAGCGGTAAGTCCCATTAACTCAGGCCCCTCCTGCTAATAACACCCCTTTGTGTGATTAGGACAAGAGGAAAGAAAAGAGAACAGGGAAGAACACTGGGAACAAATGCACTGGGGTGCTTTTTACTGTTACAATAATGCAAAATAAGTGAACTTGCTGGAGCTGCCATTTAGATTTGTTTATGGCTCATTTGTGTTGCCAGAGTTCCAGAAAGCAATCAGCTTACATCAGCATGTCAATCCTTGGCTTAGGTTTTGATGCTTAGACAGGTTGGAGTCCTGGGTGCTTCTGGGATCAAAGACAACAGTCTTCAAGTGTACTCTGATTTCACAACTGATTCATACAAAATCCCAGGATTTGATTTGTTCTTTTCTCACCATTCACCTCTGTTCAAAGCAAATTTAAAGAGGCTTCCCTTTGTGATGGGGGGGGGGCGGCAGAATTGTAACACAGCATGTTTAACTTCACAGCTAGCAATGTCTGCACAAAGAACGAAGGCATGTGAAATGTAAGCCCGGCTTGTCTCTTTCCATGGGGATCTGGAGTACTCACAGTCTGTTAAAAATAAACCTAATGCCAAAGCTTAAAACCAAACAGTATCCCCATCCGATATTTTTCAATCCACCCTTGTCCCTAGAAGCTAAATGAAATTGTCCAGTGTAAACAGTCCTTGTTTTGAACCAACACTGAACTCTGCAGCAGGAGTACCTTCAAAGGGCTAAATAAATGGCAGGACTCTGTTTTTCATTAAATGCTCCCTGTAACTCCCTCAATTCTCCCTCAAATGGTCTCAACGGATCTTCTGCAAAGAGGGGTGACAGAGAAAGGTGTCTAGAATAACTTCTACTCAGTAAAAGCAGAACATCCATCAGTTTTCTCTAAAATGTGCTGGTCAATGATTATGCTGTGATCACTTGTTTATTTTACTGTCTTCCCATATTTTATAGATAAAGAGAAGACGATGTCTCACTACTGGGGTCTATGTGAAAATGCCTTCTGAAAAGCTAGAGAAAAAAGTGATCCCATTTCACATCACTGTTAACTGAAACAAGGAAAGAGAGAAAACGTTTCCTAGCTGGGATGGAGAGTGCTAATTCACTTAAGTTAAAGAAATAAAATTAATTGTCTTATTACAAAGGTGTATGGGAAGAAGAGAGAATATTCTTTGTAACTTCTATGGTTTGGAGGAGAATAAATAGTTTATGCATTAATATTTCAAGGTTAAGCCTGTCACATAAAAATGGCTACATTAGGCCATTGATTCTTTGACTTGTATTGTACCAATATGTAGTCTATATATATACACGTATATATATGTATAGCATTAAGAGCTATTGCTGTTGCAGCTGAGCATCTTGCTGTCAAATTTTACCATGTCTACTGGTCAACTGAAATCCAAACACTATTGCAACAGAGGCTTGTGTGTCATTGCAGGACTAATCCTATAGGTCTGGGGAGCAGAGGCAGAAGAGCACACTAATGTACAAAGGAATGTTGACTTGTTTCCCTGCATTGCTATTTATTGGTCCCATTTCTGGCATTAGTGCTCTGCGCTTCCACAGAGGCATCACCGTAAGCTGGCACCAATGACACTGCTGCTCTAAAAGCCTGATCTCAGCTCCTTTCACTGGCATTGTGTTCCAGCAGTGCTGTGCTGTGCTGGAGTTAACATTGATGATATTTGAGCCAGTGCTGACAGCTTGGTTGGAGAGAAAGGCTGCCCAGCAGGAGCCCTCTTAGGCTGTTGCTGGGAGGATGTTCCAGCTCTGCTGGGGCCTTTCATTTTACAAATGCTAAATTAGCATCTATCCAAAAGGCAGAAGTATGTTGCTGTGTTTAACTGAGTCTATTTTCCATGAAAATACCAACAGTGTATAATCTTGTTTGTTAGTTATGTACCATTCAATAAAAACCTTGAAGCTTTGCCCAAATTCAAGTTCATTTCTTATTCACCATTCTCAGAAGAAACAGGAAGTGGCTACATGTTAGAAAGCAGCGATGACAAGATGAACCTTTCCCCTCTGACCCTGTGTTTTGCCCTTTAAGGGAGCCTGTGTGCTCATGACAACACTTAGTTTCTCAGCTCTCCTCCTCAGGGGGCCACCATTAAAATCTGTCAAGTCTTCTATTTGTCTAGTTAGAGCTGCTGTGATGTGGTTCAGAGACGCTACCAATCACCTTTTCACTTCCAGCAAAGTTTCTTATTTGCAGAAGGTAGCTGTAACGACTTTGACAGCATCTCCTGTACATGTTTATACAAAAAGCTAGTCCTAGTTTCAAATCCTGTTTTCTTTGCACCACTTTGACACTCTCACTCACTAAATGCTAGCTGACACACAAAGCTGCTGGAGCTTAAAACAATTTCAGCATTCTCAGCTACTACCTACTACTTTGACTCTGCTATCAAAATTTCACCTTGCAACCCAAAAACTTGGCAGTGTGTGTCTCTGTTTCACAGCTGTGAATCTATCTTCTTGGCTCCGTAACTGTGAACCCAAACCCCACAGCCCTCTATGCCATGTTCCTGCAGTGGCAGCAGCTTCCAGAATACCCGATCTCATGCTCTTTTGGTTTGCTTTTCCCCTCTTGCCCCTGCATCTGGCACCACCTCCAACTGTACAAATAAACATTCATATTCTCAATTTGCCAATGTTTGCAGGTGTTAACTGCTCTCTCAGTGTTGACCTACAATTGTAGTACACTAAGTAAAAGTAGCATCCTTCTGAAGGTGTTTTAGTATTCTGACATCAGTCTGGGATTTTCCCCCTAATTTTCCACCAACCTGGTGTTTTGGGGATAAAAAGTGGGCAAAGATCACTGATGTCACTGCAAAATGACTGAATTTCTGCCTATTCAAGTGCAGCTTGCTCAGAGAAATGTGTTTCATGATTGGTAAAAATAGATTCGACCCACACATTCACTTGTACAAGCTGTAAAGTCTTCCAATAAATTTACCCTGGTAAAGCAAGAATAATTATCCAAGGCAATTTTTTTTCCACCACAGCAAGTAGAAGGTCAGATATCCCCTGAACTGCATGTCTGACTCCTAATCAGGAATCAAATGTTTCTTCTTTTTCTTTTCCTTGACAATTCTTATGCACTGGGACCAAAAACTTAGTTTTCTTAAGCAATCTAAAAGCAGCTCAAGTAAATTATTTTCTAAGTTTATGCCTCCTGGGTGAAGAGATGCTCTGGACCTGTATCAACAACCTCATGACGTCTGGCCACAGCTCACTGTGAATCTGTGTCACCATAGAACCTGTGTATATTCCAATTCACCTTCATTTCCAGCAGCTAAATTGACCATGGCTAGGCCTTCTGCATCCATCTGGACTAATCCCTCTTAGTACACTAGCATTTCCTTGAGACATTCAGCCTGTAACAACCAGTGAAGAATTCTGCCCTAAATAAGCTCCAGGTTGCTAAATTACTTGAATAGTGAAGGTTATGGGACAGCAGAGCAGAAATGATCATCTCACATATGGCAATAGCATATTTTGTGTTTGCTCCTGCACTTAAATAATTCCTGGTATGATGTCTATTAGTTATCCTATTGGAAATTACTTTGCCCAAATTCTCTGGCTGTTCTGAATTTCTCTTCATCCTCAGTAGCTAGTTTTTCCAACTTTCTCTCATTTCTGCAGTGCTGAATTTTCTCTGGCTTTCCTTACCACTGTAGCAGCCTTCTCTGAGCTAAATGTTATAAAAGTATGCATTACCATTTTCATTCTAAGCCAGGTTCCCTTTTTGAATTTTCTGGCAAGGTAATAGGTGCACTCAAAACAGCAGATGTAGCAGTGAAGACCAAAGTGGGATTTCAGTTCAGATTTTATTGACAATGATACTCTCGTAATTTATACCTGGCACTACAGAGATGAGTGGAGCCTAAGTGCCCACAGAGATATTTATACCTATCTCCGTGTGGTCCATATAGCAGCTCACTCTGAAGAGCGCAGAGCCTAGACCTCAGGGAATTTCCATTCCTCTGATGCTCTGTACTGCACTCCAGGACCTTGAGCTCTGTGCTTTTCCCTGATACTTGGAGAGCCTTTTGCCATGATCAGCACTCAAAAGATTTTGAGATATGCAAGTCAGATATAGTTTTCTGTCAGATCACAGCAGTAGCAACATGAAAGGTGCAAACTCTAGGTCAGTGTACATCCCAGAAAATGCAATAAAGAGGAAATCCTGACTCTTTCTGTGAAGAATGTGAAAAGCAAAGGCAAAAGGATTTGGTCTCAGGACTCTACTCATTAGAACAGGGAGTGTAAAAACATAACTGAGTATCTTACCTGGCCAAATAATGAGACCATACTGCTCGGTGAGGTTCAAGAAGAGTCTCTTTGGATGTGTCCTTCACCCAGCCAGAGATACGTTGGCCTGTTTGTGAAACAGAGATAGTTTCTGGCTGCACCTGAGTGGGCATTCACAGGTACACTTGTCTGCATCAAAGACAATGGCATATGCATACACCACTCCCTATCCCCCAATATTCTACTATAATTTTCATCCACTTTTTTATCTGAATTATTTTTATCCTTGTCATTTTCAATTATCAGAGTCCTAACTGATACAGAAGAACAGGTGACAAAAGTCTCCCACCTGTCTACTCTATGAGTAGGCAATGAGTGGTTCATTGTTTTAGCATTACAGATTTTCCTGTGAAATATTCAGATTCCCCACTCTCCATGGATCTTTACCAAATTAAAAAAAAATAATCTAGGCTATGCAAAAGCAGACCTATTCCTATCTTTCCTAACCTTTGCTTAAGATTCTCCTGGGCCTAATTGGTTCTTTTTCAATAACCAACATTTGCATTGGCCAGGTAACTCCTAACTGGTTTGATACAATTCCTGTCTGGGTACTGACTTCAAGCTTTGCAGCTCCAAATAGTGTGAATATGTGTGTGAGGAGCTGAGGTGAGATTTGAAGGCAAAGTACATTGGAAGGAAAGATAAGACTGGCTTCTTCCTTTCGCTAGACAAAAGCTATTGCTGGGGAGTGAGCCTTGAAAAATAAACCAGAAAATGAACCAGTTTTCCCTGCGATGGGAACAGTCTGAACCATGACTAAAGAGCTCTGCCTAGGAGCTAAATAGGAATCAGATGTAGCCAAGAGTTGTATCATGAAAACCAAACCAAAGAAGGCTGGTGTACAACAGATGGTTTTATGCATTACTAAACTAATTTATTCTTGACATTTGTAAACTCCATGCTTGCTTGAACACCTAAATGGTACTTTGAGCTAGCTTCTATCACAGCTAGGCCATGGGGCCTCTACAGTCCCTGGGAGGGTAACGCAAATTTTGGATGCAGGCTTATGGCTGGGAGGGAGGTGTGGGGAAAAAGTGAAATTCAGAAAATTTTTGAGCTGCAGAGCATGAGGAAAGAATTACAAATACACAGCACCATACTCAGCTGATCCTACAGATTCCTGAGCATCACTTGGGAATAATTATTCCTGTACTTCTATACACAGACATTCAGCACTTACATGACTTTGTTATCATTTTGTGTGAATGCTCTTGTGACTGATAAAAGAACAGTCTTATTTAAGGGTACTCTTATATTGTGTATCAAAGAGGAATGGTGAGGAACTGTGGTATGTTTGAGCAAATAACAGTTACTGATAAAAGATCTTAGTAACTATAGGAAGGGGGGTTGTAAAAAACGTCCCTGAAGTCAGTTTAAAAATTTCTGTTGTTTACTAGAGGGACAGAGCAAGGAAGAGTTCAGGTAAGGGACAAAACTTCATTGGGAATCATTAACAATTCCTACTGACATGACATGGCAGATGCTTCCATCAAGTCGGAGATTATTAACTACTCAAAATTTCACTATTCTTTCATTTTTTAGCTTTTAAAATGGAGATTGCTTTCTATTTCCATAGTCAGCTGTCTTAACCACAGTCATGGTTTTATAACTTAATGAATGTTTTTTAGTGGTTATGAAGTTACAGTTGAACAAAAAGTTCTCCGTTTCTTCACTGACTGTTTTTCCTCTTCATTCTCCTCTGGCTGTTGTTTTGAAAAAGTAGTACTTTAAAATGTTCAGTTTGATCTGCTTCACTTGCTGCTCTGGGGTGGGATGTTTCTACAATACCACCACTTCTGTTCAAACATCCACAAGATATAAAGGAGGTCTTGAACTTTCCAAGTTACTTTTGTTCAAAGGAGCAGCAACGGGTAAGCTTCCTGCAGCAGAATCAGTTAAGACAGAGGCATTTTGCAATATAAGTGTATTACAAATCAAAAATAAAAATATGCAGTCAAAATTAGGATTAAAGAATCTGGATGAATTCTGTTATAGCACAATATTTATAGGCATCCAATTTTCTTGCAAACACGCTATTTAGTACTTCTTTATTCACCAGTAGAATTGATAATAAGAAAGCAAATCATTCTTATTAGCTATACTATAGCCGCTTCAGTAATTATGAAATATTAACTGTTCAAAATGAAAAATAATGTATTGATGTCTCATTGTTTTCATTACAAACTCTTTACACACAGGGCAGCCATTAGAGTCAACTTTGTATCATTGACAGTAACTGCAGCTGCAGCTGCCCAGAGTTGTCCTGCCAGAGTGCAGGAAAATCATGTTACAGTCCTCAGAAATGATATATCAGGCAACCTGACAGCTACGACCTTGACTAAAAAAAAAAATGCATACTGAGATATGTTTCTTTCATCATTGGACTGCTTT